AAGTCACTTAGTACAAGTGCAGAAAGGGTTATATGAAAAAACTTTTTTCTCCTAAGAGTTGCTATACCTAATGGGCCAGCCCAGGAAGCAGTGCAACCTCTTTCTCTGAAGATCCTCACGAACAGAAGGCATACATTATCAGTTCAGAAAGATTTAGGTGTGTCTCTGCCAGAAGGCAGCCCATGGCCAACCACTTTTCGGTTCTCTGAAGTCCAGTGACTGCATAATAATACTGTTGTGAGGCAAGGGCAACACAGCTGCTTTTTCTTTGGTGATTGGAATTTGCTGTCCAAAAAGTTGCAGAATAAATTGAATGTAATTAGATGAAATTTTCCCGAACAGAAAACTAAGAATTAATTTTGACTCTAGCTACTGAAAGAAAACTCAGAGGCTCTACACTGGGCTTTTTAAACATTTATAGCCTCCTTATAGAAAGCATTCCTCCATGTACAACTTTAAAAGCAGACACGTTTGCTAGACAACCTTAGGTTGATGAGTTGAATTAATGCTAAATGAAAAATTTAAATCTAAATGGCTTCTTTGTTTGTATAAAATCCTTTGAAAAATTCAATTTTAGAGCATTTATACTTACATTTTTTAAAGTTTATTTTAACATCACCTTATTTTAATCTATTTAAGTATTTTTCATGAACATAGAGAAAAAGGCAAATTCTAATTTTTGTCTTTTAAATATGGTTGATTCTGGGGGGGGGGTCAGCAGGTGATGTGGTGGTTAAAAGGTGCTGGATTCCCACATGGGTGACTGTGGTTCGAGTCTTGGACCTGGCAGCTTGCTTTCTCACTTTCCCTTTCTCTTTCTTTCTCTGATCAACTTTAAAAATAATAATAACAAATATAAATAAATAAATAATTCTTAAAAAAAGAAAAAAGTTGACTTGGGACCAGTAGATAGCGTAATGATTACATCACTGGACTCCCATGTAGTCAACTACAGTTCAAGTCCTGGCCCAGTGACAAAACTCACACCAGGTGCATGTGTGTGCATGCCCAAGATCCCGAGAGGAGAATGGAGGAGAAGGCACTGCAGCATGGCCATCTTCCAAGGGGGTGATTTTTCATTTTCTGTCTCTCCAGGGAGCACACGTGCTCTATAGCAAAAATAAAAATAATTTCCCTCAAAAATAATTTTTAAAAATGGTTGATTCTTTCTAAGAAACTTTTCCTTTAAAGGGTACTGTAGTTAATTGCAATTTAAAGATGGCATTGTGGTCCACAGTCCTTGCCCAACTGTTTTCCAGGAGCAATAAGGGCTACTATGAAATTAACTAAAAGTTTGCTGAAGTCATCTGATACTGGATTCTCACAAAACATAAAGCTGTGAGATGACTTCTCAGTAGTTGCTAAAAGTAAGGGAGAAAACAATGACTGAACTATTTAAACCCCCAAAATAATTCATACATGGTACATATAATTCTAACGTAAACTGAAAATAATTCTGATTTTTAACTTTGTTTAGGGTTTACAGTAGTATCATATATGCATCCAAGAGAGACACAAAGAACCCAGTTTTCAAACATGAGTACTTAATTTCTATCATTTGAATTCTTATCTTGTATTTAGGGATTTGATGTAACCATATTCTATGTAATATTACAGGCAAGGGTGAAAAATCTTAATATTAATTTTTGACGTGCAATAGTACCAAAGAAAAAGAAGGAGAGAGAAAGAAAGAGATAGCTATCCTTATGTAACTTTCTATCAAGATATCAAAGGACATTTTTAATATTTTCATTGAAATCCAAGATCACTCTGCTTGTTTCTATACAGCTAACAACACAGCTATTAATGGAAAACTCATAGATCAAATATTTCATTGCTTGCCTCCAAGAAATTGTTGACATCCTCTGTGGCCATCTGCCAAGGTAGTCACTCGTCTGTGTGTGTTGGAACTGAAGAAATCTCAGGGTTCTACGGTTGGACGAAAGAAAATGTTCTGTGCTCTTGGTTTCTGATATTTATTTCCTTGGTCCTGTTAAAAAGGAAACAAGGGCACATTAAAAAGGAAACAAGGGCACATTAACAATTTTAGACAAATAGCCAGTTACTCTGCACTTTTTTTAGATTCATATTTAAGGAAATCTTGAGATTCTTAAGAGGTCCCATTTAGAATCAGCATTTTAGTCTAACACAAAGGACCTGCTAAATTTATGACTGCAGGTTAAACAAAAAGAGCTATATCAATCCAGTGGCATTTTATACTACAGGAAATAAATCTAGAGATGTTAAATATCACAACCAATAGTGCAGTTGGTTAGTGGCCGAGCCAGCATGGGAAACCAGTTTTTGCTACTTCATGTCAGGGCTGTTTCCTCTGGTTGTCTCTCAGCAGATAGAGGAGAACCATATTTAAGAAGTGGAAGGGAGAATGAAGAAAACATTATGACCAAGTTAGTTTCTCAGCCCTAATGCTTAGAGAACAATGTGGAAGAAGAAACAATAAACGTGACAGCCTAAAAACACTTACCTTATTAAATCATAACACAGCTCTAGCTTGGTGGGCATCTAAGAGATATTATTTTACTAAAATATAATTCAGATATTATTTTATTTAAAAGTATCCATAGAACCAGTTGCACTAAATTTCTAAATTTTATCCACAGTCATGATTATTTATTTTTTTCTAATGTTTACTACGGCAATGCTCATATTTCCACAGCAGAAGAGTGACATTTTTATTATTTCTAAAGCAACAAAGTGATATTGTACAAAAGCAAATTAGATTTAAGACAGTCCCTTGTCAAAATCCCCCAAAGACTTCTCCTATAATATTTATGCTAAAATCCAAAAGCCTTCTCCTTGACTTAGGTAACTGGGTTCCAGTTACCTTTCTGATGGACTATCCAATCACTCTTGTTCAGTAATTTATAGCTTCAGTGGCCTTCATGTTGTCCCTCAAACATGCTAAACATACACTTGGTTTATGGTCTTTGATCCTTAATGTCCCTCTCAGTGACCTTCAGTCTCTATATCAATATCCGTTTCATTTCCACTCACAATATTTGTAATCTCAAGTTATTATACAGCCTTACAATCCTACTGGGGACCAAGCAGAATTTTAAAATAAGTATTTTTTGAGTTTTTAAAGGTAATTTGGTACATGTATTATAATTATGTAACAATTTTCCTCTCTTTCACCCCAATCCAAGAGTTCTGGGACAGTATCTTGAAATAAAATATCTTAACATTCCTGTAATAAAACATGTAATCATTCTTAGCAAGATTTTTAAAGCAACTATAAATAGCTTTATATCCGTTTTACTACTAAATGAGTTATGATTAGATCAGGTTCTACCACTGTATGAGATTCAAAAGCTTTCAGTTTTCAGAACTTTTTTTTTTTTTTTTTTTTTGCTATAAGAACAAGAAAGAAAGAAAGAAAAAAACCCCCCCCCCCCCCGGGGGGATGGCCATGCCACAATCCCTTCTCCTCCATTCTCCTCCAGGGATCTTGGGCACACGTGCACATACACCTGGTATGAGTTTAAGCCACCGGGTCCAGAACTCGAACCGTGGTCGACTACATGGGAGTCCAACGACATAGCCATTATACCATCTGTTGGTCCCAAGTTTTCAGAACTTTTGATTTTTGTAATTATAGATAAGGGATAGTGGAACACACCCATGTGTTATGTTGTTAACTGCCTGTCTCCCACATATAATGAATGCTCGCTAGAATGGTAATTTTTTTGGTTTTGCTCTGTGTGCCCAACGACTAACAAATACCTATTTATAAGTATTATTTAAGTGGATACAAGAAGAGCTCTGTAAAGATTAGTTTTTTTGTTGTTATAATTTTACATTTTAAGTAAATTCTATCCTATAGTCACCTCTTAGTTGAAAGAATAATTGAAAAAAATTCTTAGAAAAACTTATTAAAATGATTTCTTCTTTTGGTCCAGCCTTGGTGGTGCAGGCATTGTATGCTGCTCTGCAGTGCTGGAAGCAAAAGAATACCAGTGGGTTTGAATCCTAAGTCGAGTCAAACTGAAACATGCTAGGCAGGCCCGCACCGACCATCCTGACTGGCTGGAAGGCTAGGAGAGGGAGACTGCAGCCTGACGAAAGTTTGTCAGGGGTCCCGCTTTCTCTTTCTCTCTCACACATGTTCTCTTGCGCACATCTCTTGTATGAAAGAAATCAAATAAAATTTTAAAATTTCTTCTTTTAGGGCCTACTGAAAAGCAAAGGGTGAAAAAAATATAATAAGCAGTATTTAAATACAACTTCAGAAACAACACCTGGGCTGCGTGGTAGTATTCTCACCTAGAATTACAGAAATGGAGGTATGCTTCGCTGCATTCCCTTTTTCTCTGTAGCTACTTATCTATTTACCATTCATCAGTGCATCCACTGCTCACTTTGTCTTAAATATCTTATCAGTTTGGTTCAATTCATTACTTCAAATAAAATGAGAGGGTAGAAACTTGATGATCTTTAGCAGTTTCATGATTCCTCTAACAGTTAAATAATCGGGGCAGTAACCTATCCGCCTATGCTAGAAGTTGGCTGATTGGTCTGAAAGACACATAATCTTTTTCACCTGTTCTACGATTAAAATGATACAGACTAGCTTATATGTATGTACACATACACACGTAAAATAATAAATATATATATATACTTTATATATGCTATATAGTATATAAATATATATTACAGTATATTTTTATACATATATATTTTTTTTTAAATTGCCAGAGGGCACATCCACCCACCAGAAACAGGGGAGGGAAGCACCTCCCCCACCGCAATTGGGCATGATCATGTCATAACCTGTTCTCTTCCATTTCTACATGTAAAATAATATATATATATATATACTTTATATATGCTATATAGTATATAAATATATATTACAGTATATTTTTATACATATATATTTTTTTTTAAATTGCCAGAGGGCACATCCACCCACCAGAAACAGGGGAGGGAAGCACCTCCCCCACCGCAATTGGGCATGATCATGTCATAACCTGTTCTCTTCCATTTCTACATCCTACCAGAATTTTGGGCATGCACATGCACACAACCAGCATGTATTTCAAGCAATCATGGCCAAGATTTGACCCACAGTCAGTCACATGAAATCTAGTTCCCTTAATCACCAGGCTGGCCAAGATCAGGTTTTTAAGAAGGGAGAGAAGTACCCTGACAAGGCCCTCACGCTGTCATCCAGCCCGTCAGCCCTGAATCACGAGCACATGTGTGACCAGCATATTTAGGAAGGTTTCTGGTCAAGAACCTGAAACCTTCCCATGTGAGTCTAACTCACAGAGCACTGCATCATCAATGTACTGCTATTCAGCTCCTCAGACTAGCTTTTCAGTTACATTAAATCATGCCTGACTCCAATGAAGTAACACATTTGCCAAATATTTATTTTATCAATACGTACATCAAATTTCTGCGTGTGTTTCTGAACAAGAGTATGTGTAATAATGGCAAACATCTGTTGACCATTTACTCTGTGTCAGGGCATACTTTAAGCTTTTTTTATACAGTATCCTTACAACAGCTCTATTAGGTAGGTACCTACTTCTTGTGGTGTATCACTCTTATTTCCTACATTATACTTCCATAGAAAGTGTATACTTTTTTGAAAGGCAGAGAGAGACAGAGAGACAGAAAGTGAGAAATTAACCCCCGGGGAATGCCCATGCCGCAATCCCTTCTTCTCCATTCTCCTCTTGGGATCTTGGGCACATACACTCATACGCCAGGCGTGAGTTTAAGACACCGGGTCCGGCACTCAAACCGTGGTTGACTGCATGGGAGTCCAGTGACATAGTCATTATGCCAACTGCTGGTCCCAGGCCATGTGACTTCCTTTGGCCAATGGAATCATAGCAAACCTCATGTAAGCAGAGCCTTAAATATGCTTGTGCAGTTGGGCCTGTCCCCTTGCAATCCTGCCTTTCATTCTGAGATTAAAAAAATGCCTCACGTATCTGTTGGTTGAAGGATGATAAAAGACACATGACACAGACCTAGACCCATCTTCCATCTGGAACCAAGTCCACTGACCTATACCTACTGCAGACTAAATGCAAATGCCTGGGCAAGAACTAATGGCTTATTGTGGTATGCTAGGGAGACTGTTTTGTTTGTTTGTATTGCAGCAGCTGTCTTCCTTTTTAGAGAATGAAAATAAGGGAGACTGAGTAACCTGCATAAACTTTCACAGCTATTTAAGTGGAAGACCCAGGATAGCTATGCAAGTATGGCTCAAGGGTCTATATTCTTAACTCCTATGCTATACTGCTACTACATTACACTTGCTAACATACTTATTAGTCATTTATTAACATGAGGAGTGCTCAAAGAGTTCATGGAAATGATGTGTTACTGAAAATTATGAATGAGTTTTAAATTATGTTTGCACAAAAATATTTTAATTATTTCTCCACAAACTTTTTTTTTCTTTTTTTGGGGGAGAGATTTTCACTATAGGACGTGTGCACTCGCCAGACAGACAGAGAGAGACATAGAGACAGAAAGCGAGAAATCACCCCCCAGGGGGGATGGTCACGCCGCAATTTCTTCTTCTCCATTCTCCTCTCGCGATCTTGGGCACACACGCACATGCGCCCGGCGTGAGTTTTAAGCCACCGGGTCTGAGATGCGAACCACGGTCGACTCCGTGGGAGTCCAGTGACACAGCTATTACGCTAACTGCTGGTTCCTTCCACAAACTTTTTGAAGTCCCTTTGGATGTCAGTGGTTGATCTTGCACATATTAAAATTCCTAGTTGTATAAAGAACCTATGGAATCATCAATGAACAAAAGTGTCTTACAGTTTGGAGTAATTTTTTATCTTGAAGAATTAATAAGTATATGGGACCAGCAGTTAGCGTAATGGCTATGTCTCTGGACTCCTATGTAGTCAACCGTGGTTCAAGTCCCGGAGCAGGTGGCTTAAACTCACGCTGGGCACGTGTGCATGCATGCCCAAGATCCCAAGAGGACAG